TCGGGAAGTTCGTTCTTTTCTAGGTCATGTCGGATTCTACTGAAGGTTCAAAGATAACAACACCAATGTGCCAACTCTTGCAAAAAGAGGTTGATTTTGAGTTTAATGAGGCGTGCAAAGAAGATTTCCACAAGCTCAAAGAATTACTTACATCCGCCCCCATCATACAAGCACCAACAGGGATCTCCCATTCGAGATCATGCGTGATGCAGACAATTATGCTATTGTCGCCATTTTGGGTCAAAAAAATGGAAGAGCCTCCAATGTGATCTACTATGCATCAAGAACACTAGACAATGCTCAAAGCAACTACTCTACCACGAAGAAGGATCTATTGACCATAGTGTTCGCTTTTAAGCACTTGGCACCAAAGTTATAATGTATTCGGATCATGCAGCTCTCAAGTACTTGATGACAAAGAAAGATGCGAAACCAATACTCATCCGATAGATCTTATTATTGCAATAATTTGATTTGGAAATCTGGGACAATAGTGGATGTGAGAACCTTGTTGCCGACCACCTAAGTCGGATCACTTCAAATGAAACTCCCCTCCCGTTGCGGGACGAGTTTCCGGATGAGCATCTATTTTCCCTTACTCAATATATTCCTTGGTATGCCGATATCGTTAGCTTTTTGGTCACAAAAAGTTATCCCGACACATTCACATGTGTTCAAAAAGATAAATTAAAGAGTGAGGAAAAATACTACGTGTGGGATGAACCTTATTTGCGGATACATTGTCCCGATCAAATCATTAGGCGATGTGTGCCCCAACAAGAACATCAATTTATTTTGCAATTTTGTCATGAATTTGCTTGTGGGGGACACTTCGGACCTAACTAAACTTTGAGAAAGGTTCTTGAGTGTGGATTGTTTTGGCCAATCATGTCACGCGATTGTTATTTGTTTTATAAAAGCTATGATCGGTGCCAGAGAACGGGAAACATTTCACAAAAAAATCAAATGCCACAAAATCCAATCATTGTTTGTGAAGTTTTTGACATATGGGGGATTGATTTTATGGGCCCATTTTCCGTCTCATTTGGAAACGTTTATATTTTGCTCACCGTTGACTATGTCTCTAAATGGGTTGAGGCCAACACCACAGGATAGACGATGCCAAAACGATTATCTACTTTTTAAAATCTAATGTATTTATGAGATTTGGTGTGCCTAGGGCGTTGATTAGTGATCGAGGGACACATTTTTGCAACAAGATGATGGATGCTTTATTGAAGAAGTAAAACGTGAGCCATCGTGTCTCAACCGCCTACCACCCTCAAATGAACGGTCAAGCAGAAGTTTCAAATCATGAGGTGAAGAGTTGAGAAAACAGTGAATCTGACAATGAAAGATTGGAGTTTGAGGCTTGATGATGCCTTATGGGCCTATCAGACTGCTTACAAGACCCTGATAGAAATGTCCCCCTTTAGGTTGGTTTTCGGAAAGCCATGTCATCTACCCGTCGATTTAGAGCACCGTGCATTTTGGGCGGTTAAGCAATGCAGTGATAATATTGATGAGGCGGGAAGACAAATGAAGTTTCAACTCCAAGAGCTAAAAGAATTGAGAAATGACTTCTATGAAAATTCAAGGATTTATAAGGAGAAAACGAAGCTCTTCCACGACAAGTCCATCACTCGAAAGCATTTTGAAAGGGGGCATAAGTTCTTACTTTATCATTCACGATTGAAGTTATTTTAGGGCAAGCTAAGGTAAAGATGGATTGGACCTTTGTTGTGATTAAGACCTTTGACCGTGGGGCAGTGGAAGTTCAAAGCGAAAATACGGGACAAAATTTTAAAGTCAATGGACACCGTTTGAAGCCATTCTATGAAGGTTTCAATGCTAATGCTCTTGAAATCATCCATTTGGATGTTCCGAAGTGTTGAAGCAAGCAAGGAAGACGTCTTGCCAAAGACGTTAAAGAAGGGTATTTTTGGAAAGCATTGACTTTCACTTTTTCCAAATCCAAATAAATCATTTTAAAAAGCGCTTTCGGGATTTTGAAAAATAAAATTTTGAAATGTTTCACCCTTTATTCCCTGTTTTATTCCAGAATTTTGTCAAAATTTTGAAATCGGGCCTTATGGGGATCATTTTGAATTAAAAGTCAAGTTTTTAGAAAACCTAGATTTTTGACCCACAGGAAGGGCACGCGACTCGCTTGAAAAATAGGAAGAAGCAATGTCAGCCCTCATAAATAAAAAATACTTCAACTCGTTTAGCAAAAGCGGTCAGCCCACGACCCGAGCAGTGCCCGCGTGAAGGATCAAAAGTTTTCGAGTCAACTAGACGCGGCCAGCATGCGGACCGCGCCTAGCCCGTGTGGCGGTTTCCAACACTTGGTGATTTTTTTCCATCGACCCAGCTAACGCAGCTAACCCCGCAACCGCACTTAACCCACACAAAGATTCAAAAGCGCGGAACTTTATCAAGCAGATAGACGCGGTCATCACGTGGTCCGCGCCCTACCTGCGTGTTGGTTGTTGACTAGATTTTTAATGGTTTGACTCATGTTGACCAACATTAACCTTCTTTTACTTGTGTTGACTGGAGATTAAAGAGCAGCCATCTCATTTATTTCCTCCATCGTCCCTTTATTCTTCTTCTCTACTCCTTCTTTTGTCTCTCAAGCACACCAAACCTCCATTGGATCTTCTCACAAAAACCCGATTTCTCGGAGTTCTACTGGTCGGAATCTTGTGAAACCACCGTCATTCTTTCCATTTTTTCTCAAGCTCTATAGACCCCACCCAAAATCCGATCCGATTTGTGGCTGGGATTCCGGGCGCCACCACCATCTACTGCCACCTTCTTTTGCATTTTTCGCCCAACTCCGACCACCATTGGAGATTCCGAGCACGGGGTTTTGTTTCTCTTCTCGATGGCTTTCTAACCATACCAATTTTTCCCCAAGAACTCGCCAAAATTTTTCGCCCAATTCCAAGTACCACCACTCTAGTCACCCCAAAATCACCTTAAAGCTCGTTTTTTGGGTGGTTCTAGTAATTTAAGCGTAAAAATGGAGAAAAATCATATGCTTGGGGTGTGCCTTGAAGAATCTCTTTGGTGGTTCTAGCTCCACTTCCAAAATTTGTCCCGGGTATAAACAAATTGGATACACTCGTTCCTTTGACTTTATTATTTACATCTTGAATAACCATTTGTTGTGAAATTGTGATGCCATTCTTGTGGCCTTTGATGTGATTTAAAAATTAGTATTGACAAATTTTTGTCCCGAGTCAATGTGTAAGTGTGCCAAAACGGGGATCGGACCTACTTCCACTAAAGGTGGGTCAAAAGGAAAATCTAAGTATCCCCCATTTCGTTTGTTGAATCGTGAGGACCGAAAAACATATGATTTTATCATTTCCAACAATCGACAAGTCAAATCCACAAAATTCCTCCATAGAGAGCCCCTTGAGGATCTCGAGGTGCTCGAAGGAGTCCAAGCATTATTTGACAACATTGGATGGGGCCAATTCCTTCATAATCGCGCTGCCACCTATGTTAAACCAACTTTAGAATTCCTTTCCACCTTCCGTACCGATGAGGAAACGAACTCCATTACTTTCCAAATGCTCGGCGAGAATCGATCACTGCCATTTCGGGTTGTGAACGCCCTAATGGGCACTCAAGTGGACCACACATATAACCAACAAGACCCATGGTCCGCCAACTTTAACGAGCATAACTTTTGGCAACAAATCACCCACGAACCACGATATTCATCATCCTCATCCAAGGCCTCTTATATTATTCATCCGTGTTTGCGCCTCGCCTATCGAGTCCTCACATGTACCATTTTTGCCATGTGCCGAAGCGGACCAAATTTCTAAAGCGGTGCTATTTTTTCTCCGGTGCATGACTCGTGAAAATGGATCCCGACCAGATTTCACATCATTCTTTTTCACCAAATGTTACAACCTCATGAACATGGACACCGGGGACATTTTTATTAGGGCTTGATTACCCTTATTGCATACCACTTCAACTTCATCTCTCCACCTTTTCATTCAAAAAAGCAACCGGACCCTCTCGTCTCGACATAAACGCGCTCTGGAGAATGTTCATCATTCGCGAATCAGTTGATGGTCACATTTGGAATCTTGACAATCAGCCATACCTCATTCTTCCTCACGAGTATATAGGGTCTTTCGAACCAACCGACCCCGGACGATGGGTCATTCCATCCAACTACCCTCCTCCCGTGGATTATGAAGATGACAATTTTCAGCCTTAGCACCAGCCTCAGTATCAGCCACAACAACAACAAGGGGGACACAAAATCCATCATATTTCCCCATTTCCTTCTTTGACCAATTCGCCACGATGTTCTCCACGGTTTAGTTCACATACACAACCTAAATAATCATGAACTTTTATCCACATTAGCAACCCAACCCAATCCTCTATTTTTTTTTTTTAAAAAAATTCAAAAAATATATCAACACTAGACTCATTTTGTAGATAATTTTATTTTATGTATTGTAATATATTTTATTTATTGTTAAAAATAATATCACATCTATTTTTTTATAAAATAAATGAAATATAATAAAAAAGGAAATAGAAAGATGATGAACTATGGTGAGGTAGGTTGTAAGGGCAATCCGTTCACACTATTTCTTTGCTTTTCAATTTATTTTTTTAATTTTTTTTAGGTGAGTTGGGATAGTCTTATAACAAAGTATACCAAACAAATACATTTTAGTAAAATAAAAGCGAATTTTAGTAAAATAAAAGCGACTATGGAGAAATCCTGCAAATGAAGTTGAAATTTAGGGACTATATCTGCAAAATGGAACATAAAGAGAGAGCACGGGTCACTCGATTGCCTAGTCATCAATCCGTATGATACCTTCTCACCCAATAGGAATGAAGATGGCGTCGCTATATAAATCAAATCAATCGGATCTAAATTCCACCACCGACAGCTTGTCAATTTAAACCTAGTATCTCATCGTCTCTCGTAAATTCTTTGGTTTCACAAGATGGCGCCAACAAAGGGTGACAAGAAGACTGCCGAGAAGAAGCCATCGACAGCAGACAAGAAGCCATTGAAGGCCGAGAAGAAGCTTCCTAAAGAAGGCGTTTCAAGTGCCGGAATAGAGAAAAAGAAGAAAAAGAGCAAGAAGAGCGTCGAGACATACAAAATCTACCTCTTCAAGGTTTTGAAACAAGTTCATCCTGATATCGGTATCTCTGGAAAAGCCATGGGGATCATGAATAGTTTTATCAGCGACATCTTCGAGAAGCTCGCTCAGGAATCTTCTCGTCTCGCTCGTTACAACAAAAAACCGACAATCACTTCTCGTGAGATTCAGACTGCTGTTAGGCTAGTGTTGCCTGGTGAGTTGTCGAAACACGCGGTTTCTGAGGGTACTAAAGCTGTTACTAAATTCACCAGTTCCTAGATCTGATGTTAGAAATATAGAGTTTTTTTTTTTTTTTTTTTTTTTTTTTTTTTTTTTTTTTTTTGTGTGTGTGTGATTTGGTCATTGTTATTCTTTTTCAAGAAATCTAGGGTTTCTTAAAATTTCCATGTTTGTATTCATATGAGTTTGATAATCAATACTCATTACTCAATTAAGATCATTACGTTACGTATGATTTCTTTGAACTAGATTGCCTTTTGTTGTCATTAGAGGCAACTGCTGATTGAATTAGGTCCATTAATTAACGTGATTAGTCCTGAATGATTCGTCATCGATAGAGCCGTGTTCATCCAGTTATATTCATGATCCCCAATTCGTTTCAAACAAATTCAGTTCTTGGTTGATGTTGAAGGACGTTTGGTCTTAAAACACCTTTATGTATGTTGCAGGTAAATTAATAAATCTTCATTGGTGTAACCTGTCTCATCAGACCAAAATAAATTCTCAATCTCCCGAAAAATATCTTGGCAAGTCTGCAACATTGTCTTCTCCTGATGACAACGTTATATCTGTTGATCCATCATGCTGCAGTTCCATGTCCTTCCCTGTAAGCATTCAGTATTCAGCACAACTATATTTTTTTGTTATATGTATCAGTCATTCAGTTGTACCTTGTAAGTCTGATTTTTGTCTGTGTTTTGTTTACAAGACCCATTTGAAGGCTATATCTGCTATGAAAGGTAGTCGTAAGAAAGGGGGCGTGGTTCCAAAGTAACAAATTAAAAGAACTCATTTTTTAAACTTTGCCAAACACCCTATTAATGAAGAATCAAAATAACAGGAGCAAATCCTCACAAGGAAGTAAACCTATTTCTAAGAACATCTTCAAAGGGTTGCATAAAGGCTGTAAGGGGCTGAGGTGGAGTGGTATAGTTTTTCTTTTATTTATTTAATTTTTTTATAATAAGGTAGAGTGATAGGTTTTGGAGTTCTATGATCATACCATGGTTGTAAGGATTTTTTTTTCCCGATAAATATATAAAAAATGAGATAGATCTAAGGTGAGGTGGAGTGGTATAATTTTTTTAATGAATCGCAGAGATTTTAAGGCTCTTCAGAGTGGATTTGGCATCCTCGGCCCGATGTCTTGGTGAGCTTTTACCCATAAGAGAGAAAGTTATTTTTTTTGTTTACCCATTAACTTTTTTTTTTTGTCAAAAAATACATTTTTTCAGAAAAAAAAAAAAAAAGAATCAATTTAAAAAATATAACCGTTTTTTTTTTTTGGTCAAAATTTCAAAATTTTAAACCCTCAATCTCCAACTATAAATATCATTATCATTATTTATTCTTCATCCCCTTCAAATCTTCTCAATTCAATTCTCCTAACTTTCTTATTTTTCATCTTCTTCAAAACCTCATTGCTAATGGCTCTTGTGGGTCGTTTTTGGTCCCCTGAAGAAGATATGTTATTGGCTCGTTCATGGTTTGACTTTATAGAAGACTCAATCCATGTTAACCTCCATGCGATAACCTTTTTGGAGGAGTCACCGAAAAATACAAATGCGAAGCCCCGGTCCCTCGAGGTGAAGTAGAAATATACTCCAAATTGAGGCATACAAACGCACTTACAACTCAGTTTAACAATGTATTTAGTAGGGTAATGCATGAAGTTGGTAATTGTGAAAATGAAAATACTTTGCTACAAAATTCTCTGGAGGTTTACCGTGTTGAAACTAACAAAGATTTCCGGTTTGTTAAGTTTTGGCAAATTGTGAGGCAGCCCTAAAATTTGCTCAAATTTAAACTCATTGCCTTTTAGTTATTATTATTATTATTATTATTATTATTATTATTATTATTATTATTATTATTTGTGTGTGATGTTTTTCAAGTTTAAGTGTGTATTAGTTTAATTTCAAATATGTTTTGTTTTTTATGTGTAAATTTGTGATTTGGTTTGAAGTTAATAAAAAATTTGTTTTAAAACTAATTAATTGAAAAAATAAACATTTCAAACATATGATTTTTTTTTAAAACAAAATTTTTGAAGGAGTGTGACAAAGCCTATGTGACGTCTACTTGTATACAAAGTATAATGTTTGGAAAATCCACTTTAAACACCTCACTAGATATAGCCCAGACATCACCTATATAAGTAGATCAATCAATATTATAATTGGAATCAATGATAAGTATTATTTATATGTTCATAATAACGACTATAAATATAAATATAAGTTACACATAAAGCATAGTAAGTGCAACTTAACTTACAAAGTTTTATGAAAAAAGTTCTGAAAGTTCGCATGCATAACTTCGATTATGAAAATTTCTTTTTGTCGTCCCTTCTGATGCTTCAGTGCCTTGCTAAAGTAGTCGAAATCCTTGGAGGATTGGGCTTAGAATATGAGAATTTATCCTAGAGGGAATGGAGGATATCGGAGCCAATTAGTGTGAGGAATGAGCAAACTTCAGTTGTTTATAGGTTGTCCAAGTTTGCGTCACATTGTGGTTTATAGCATGCTGCATTGTGGTCTTGCGTAGGCATCAAGCAACGACTCTGGTGTTGCGACGTGAGCATAGTACGTGATATCCACTTAGATTAAAAGCTTTACAAGAGTTAATGTTTACATGAAAACATAATTTCCTAGCTATAAATGCTAGTTGTGACATCATCCCCCGTTAGAGGGAATTTCGTGCCGAAATTCTTTTGAAAGATAGAACTATGAACGAGAGAATAGGTGATGGTACTTCTGCTTCATCTGGTCTTCACATTCCTATGTGAATTTCGGCCCACGCTTAGCGTTCCATCGAACCTTCACAATCAGAATGCGACTCTGTTTCGTACGCCTCACTTCCTTATCCTTTATCTCGACCGGTTCTTCGACGAACAGTATATTCTCGTTTATTTCGATCTCTACTAGATGAATGATAAGAGTTTCATATGATAAACACTTTTTTAGATTTGAGACATGGAATACATGGTGTATGTTGTTGAGCTCTGTAGGTAGCTACAACTTATATGCCATTGGACCAACTCGGGGCTAGAATCTTGAACGACCCGATGTATCACGGATTTAGTTTTCCCCATTTCCCAAAATGGATCATCCCTTTTTGGGGAGAGACCTTTAATAGCACCCAAACTCCGACTTGGAATTCAAGAGGCTTTCGTCGTTTGTCAGCATAACTATTTTGTCGTTATCGCGATGCTTGGAGTCTGACTTTGATTTGAATTATCTTCTCTATCGTTTCTCGAATGATTTCTGGTCCTTTAAGAGTGCTGCTCGGTGACTGCCCTTTTACCAACTGGGTGCCGCCCACCTCAGCCCAGTAGAGAGGCGATTTGCATTTGCGACCATAAAAAGCCTCAAAATGAGCAACCCTCATACTCGTGTGATAATTGTTGTTGTACGAGAATTCAATAAAGGGAAAGTGGGTATCCCATGATTTTCCGAAATAGATCACACAGGCTCGGAGCATGTCTTCAAGTGTTTGGATGGTTCGTTCGCTCTGGCCATCAGCTTGAGGGTGGTAAGCAGTGCTCATGTTTAGTTGTGTTCCCATTGCCTTCTAGAGTGACTGCCAAAATCGTGAAGTAAATCTACATTCCCGATCCGAGATAATAGATACTGACATCCCATGAAGTCTCATGATCTCCTTTATATAGATTCGTGTTAAAGTTTGTAGATGATTATAGACTATAATGTGTTGTTTTTATTGTTATATTCAATGAATTACAATTCTTCAAAGTTAGGATATCAAAGTTGAAATATTTAAGCTTTTCAGTAAGAAATTTAAACTTTTGTATTTTGTAAAATTCATTAAACAAGCAAATCTCATTTATTTGAAGTCATATTGACATGTGGTTCTTTTCAACATGTAATTTAGAGTTCGTAGATAACTTTAGATTATAATTTTGTTGTTTTTGGGTGTTATATTCAATGAATTATAATTCTTCAAAGTTGAAATATTTCACTTTTCCAGCTATTATTTTTGTTTATGTAGAGATTGCACAAACTCTAAACATGTTAGATTTAGATGATAATGATGTGGGGAAGAGGCCAGTGAAACATGTTAAATTTAAGGTTAAAGTTGAAACAAAAGAAGACTTCAAAAATCAAAAATAAACTATCAATTTGGGACTGAAGGAGTAGTATAATAACCATGACATTTTTTTTAAAGTAGGTAGTTAGTACATTTAGCATTAAAATTGATCAAGAAACTCACTAGTTTAAATTGTTATCATAGGACGTCAATAATAAAATAGGTGCAATCACTTAGTACAAGTCATCGTTTTTATCACCACAATCACCATGAGTATTCACTAATGCATGGTGTACTTAGTTTAAGAAGCAAAAACAAATTATTTAGTTGTGGTTTAAAAGTTATAAACAACTACTAATAAGTAATATTATAGTTTAATATATCGTAGATAAAAAATTATTGAGAGAAAATACATATTAATGTTTTTTATTAGTCGATGTATTTAGAATTTATTTGAAAAAATAAATTACAAAATTAATAAATAATTATAAATATATTAAATAAATAATAAATTGTTATTTTTTTTTTTGGAATATTCGTTTATTATGTTATAAGCCAAAACCAATCCGAAATCTAAAATAATAATTCGGTTTTGTTGAAAAACCTATAAAAAATTTGAATATCCGAACACAATAGTCTAAATATTGCTTATATGTTTTATGTATACGATGATTTGTTTTTAGGGTGAGGAGGGGGGGTCAACCCGATCGGGTTTCAGGTTAATCGGGTCGGGTTAGTCGGGTTTTTACTAAAAATAATTTAACCCGACACCCGACCCTATTAAGGTATGGGTTGGGCGGGTTCGGGTTAATTGGGTCGGGTTAGTCCGATTAATACATTAAACACTTAATTTAAACATAATATATATGTTTTTTCAAGAGTGAAAATCTGATATAAACTCAAACCATTTTTTTACTCTTTTCTTAACATCAAAATGCATACTAATTGAAATAAATTAAAAATAAAAGATTATGGACCTTATGGTTATTACAACATATGAGAAAATATGCATACCACAATAGCTAAAAGAGTTCTTCCATTATAAATATTAAATAGATGAACTTTCAATCTCTAGTTAACGATCAACACCATGTAGTTTATTCATGTTTATAGTTAGTTTAAAGTAGAAATAATTATCAAAATATCTTTACTTTCTCAGCCGCTCTAGTATGCTTCTAGAGTCACAAAAATTTACATTTTCAAAGGGTTTATAGTCTTTTGTACTGCTCAAGTAGAGAGTGGTGGAATATGTAAATGTTGTGAATTCCTAACCGGGTTATTCGGGTTGACCCGAAACCCGATTTTATTGAAAAAATAAACCATAAACCCGACCCTATCTACAAATCGGGTTTATTGGGTTAACCCGAATTAGAATTCTAACCCTATTGAACCCGACCCTAATTACCTTATTCGAGTTAAGGTCAGGTCGGGTTAATCGGATTCGAGTTTTTTTTACACCCTAATTATCGGACATAATCAGTAACAATTAGCAACATTCTTAGTTAGGTAGGCAATATCATCACATTGCGGTTTGTAATCCTTTACAAATATATCAAATCAATGTTCGAATTGTATAATTGAGAATATAAATTGTTTTATTGTCAACGATATAATATACGGGTTATTACCTATTAAAGTGATAAAAAACCGTTTAAAAAGTGGCGACTTTGATGTTTTATTGCATTATCTTCTATGAAAAAATTGTAAAACGGAAAATAATGTTTTTCAATTACAGGTTAGACGGTTTACTCACTTGCCACGTCATCAATCCTCGTGAACCCTTTTCAACCAATAGAAATCAAGATGGAAACGCTATAAATTGGATCAATCGGTTCGCATTTCTATCACCAATAATTTGTCAATTTTGACCTAATATCTCCTTGCGTATCTCAAATTCACCGATTTCACTTACCATATGGCGCCAATGAAGAAGACGGCCGAGAAGAAGCCATCGACAGCAGAAAAGAAGCCATTGAAGGCCGAGAAGAAGCTTCCTAAAGAAGGCGTGTCTAGTGCCGGCATAGAGAAGAAGAAGAAGAAGAGCAAGAAGAGCGTCGAGACATACAAGATCTACCTTTTCAAGGTTTTGAAACAGGTTCATCCTGACATCGGTATCTCTGGTAAAGCCATGGGGATCATGAATAGTTTTATCAGCGATATCTTCGAGAAGCTCGCTCAGGAATCGTCTCGTCTCGCTCGTTACAATAAGAAACCAACAATCACATCCCGTGAGATTCAGACTGCTGTTAGGTTAGTATTGCCTGGTGAGTTATCGAAGCACGCCGTCTCCGAGGGCACAAAAGCCGTTACCAAATTCACTAGTTCTTAGATCTGTTATTAGAAGGCGAGAGAACGATTGTACTTTGATAATGTGCTAAAAGTTTGCTTAAAAGTTTGAAACATGATTTACAGAAATCGAATTGAATTTTGATGATCTGGATCTCTACTCTAGATTCAATATTTTAAGTTACGTTTGTTATTTCTGAATTAGATTTTGCATTTTGTTCTCATTGATAGATCATATAAGAAAAAAGTTCAGATTTAAAACATTTGCAAAGTAAACACATCATAACTAAATCAAACATAAATATAAAATCAAGTTTATAGCTCTAAAATCGTTAACTAATGTATAATGAATAATCTTTCGAAATCATATCGCCATGGATGCCAACAGTAATTAAAGTTTGTCAAATCTGTATGCGATCATGAGAAACGATTCGATTCAATGTATGCAAGTGTCAAAGCTCCCCAACCACACAGCTATGCCAAAGTGTGTTTGCGCATATGATTGGAATTGTCATTATTCTAGACCCTGTAAATCAAACACAAAACATCAAGTCAAGATGGAAGAAAATTACTTTCCATAATTTGCTAAGATATGAATTAGAAATGGGGTTGTTTAGATGTAATACCTAGTGGACCCAACATTGATGTTACGATGGAGTATCCGACCCGATCCTGCATCTTCACTTGATTCAATCAGCTCTTTTAACCCGGAATTCACCACTTTGTCTTCCTCAGCCTTCACTTTCATCTTCTCCGGCACAACTCTCAACTTCTCGAAGTAATTCCCATAGATATACTCTGGGTTATAGTTATACCCATTTTCTTCATCAAATAACATGATGTGACCATGCCATTCCCACACCCGATACTCCGAATCGGGTTCCACATGATACCCGATGCAAATATGATGCTCTCCGATCCTAACAGCTTCACCCGAATTCGGTTTTAGGGATTCCTCGGTGTTTCCACTAAGAATGATCTTAATCACCTCCTCTTCCAGCTTCGATTCTTCTTTCGCGAGCTGGGTTTTGCCGCTGTTGTTGTTTTCATCTTCTTCATCGTCGGTATCAGGTAGGTTGTTTATTGTATCAAATAGGAGGGATTCTAGGGTTTGGTTTACAGATGGCGATGATTGGTGTTGAAGAGGGTTTGGTGGACGGACTTGAAGCCTACCCATTAGGGTTTGAAGGAGGAGATTTTCGAAATTTGGTGGATTTGAGTATGAACTCATCTTGATTCCTCTGAGGGTTTATCAAGATTTTAGAGCTAGAATGAAAGAGATGATAGTCGAAGAATCGGAGGGGAAAAAAAATCAACCAGGTAAACCCTTTAGAAAATGGGTTTAAACTTCATCCGGTTTGGAAGAAAGCAAATTAAAATAAAAATTGATTATTTAATATGTGTAATAGGGGTGAACAAATAGGCACCTAGCCAAGCCCAGTCAAGCCCATACCATCCCTGAAAATCTAGCCCGTTAAGGCTTGTGAACTTTTTCCCATTACCTAAAAGCCCGGTCTATTTGGGGAAAAAAATTATAGGTTTTTTTTTTATTGCGTTTAAGTACTCGATTAAATACACCATGATTTAAAAAAATAAAAAGTATAAATGCAAAGTTTATCGAAACAAAAACATACAACACAATGTCCCAGAAATATCATACTCCGTTGTATTGTAAACAAACCAATACATATGTGACATTGCGCGTCCATTGCTTGTCATCTACATCTTTGATGCTAAAAAAATCTTCCAAATTGACGCCTTTACGTTTCCTTTGCTAAGAACTTCAAGCCCGATTGAATATCACTTAGCGAATCCATTTTTTTCGTAATCGAGTTTAGATTGCAAATATAATTATAGAGTATTTATAGAGAATTACTATAGAGATGAAGTATGGAATTAAACCGAACACAATACATCTATTTATACTTGAAAATATATGTAAAAAACACCAAACATAATACGTCAAACACCCATAGTCCGAAATAATGCTAATAAAGCTTATAAATAAACAAATTTGATTAAAATGAAAAGTAGTATTACTTATCAAAATATTATTTGATATAGTACCAAGTGATAATCTAATATAATACAAAAAAAAGTTAAATTCATTAATTCTTTTACAATAATATTTGGCCTAAAGAAACCGATAAATCAAAATAAATAACCCAAAACAAATTAAAACGGAGCTTATTCAACATGGTTACAATCAATTTAAAATAATTAAAAAACAAATTAAATCAAATCGAAAACCGTAACAACTTTTGACTTTTTTTGATATTTCTGGAGCAACTATATCAAACTAGAAAATGCACATCTCCACTTCGCCGAGGATACGTACAAGCTTTTGCTTACAAAATTATAAGGATTGTGTTTGAAAAAACCCTCATAGGGATCATTTTTGTATTTCATTTTTTACATAGAGATAAAAGCTCACTTTTTAAAACTTTTTTATTAGGAAGAGGCATTTATATAATGTTTTAACATATACATCATTCCTATAAATATAATTATGAACAATGACCTATTATGTAAATTACAATGATCATTTTTATAATTTATTTTCTACACAGGGATCAAACATGTGAACCCTACAAGCTGCGAAGATACAAAGGTAAAAGATGCAAAATTTAGTGTTTAAAATTAAGAGGTTAAAAGTAATATTTTACAAAGTAAGGGATAAAGTGGCATTCGAAAAAGTAAATGGTATAAGAGGGGGAGAGTATATATTAATAACACAAGATGTTGCAAAATCTGTAGTTTTTAAATCTACGAGTAAGGTAAAACGAAAAAAATGATAATGACTTGTGAAGACAATGAACTTTTAATTTTGTTTACATTTAGTCAATAATTTTTTCGTGCTTGATTACCTTTGAATTATTTGAAATTATTCAAAATTACCCTTATAACCGGTCATAAGGATAAAATGTGGACATTTCAAATATTTATGGTTAAATCAAGCACGAAAAAGATCTAGTAACTAAATAGGAACTAGTTGAAAATGTGTTACCCTTTCAAGTAATTATCTTTTTTTGTAATCATTCTTTACTTTATTTTTGCTTGTAGGTAGCAATTACTTAAATTAATAATTTTGATTTCAGTCACTACGATTTGTTTTGTATTGTGTTTGTAAGAAGTATTATATAATAAATACATATCACATAATCATGTTGTAGTTCATTGCAGGATAATAGCTTGAAAGGGTGACAAACTTTCGTATCTAATCCTCACTTTTGTGAACTTTATATTCAACTTGTGCTAATTGTGAATAACATTTAGAACCATTTACGAGATAGTAGTTTGAAATGATAACAAAATTTTAATTTTATTCGTATTTAATCATTATTTTATTTTATTTATTTATTTATTTATGTTTGATATCCATAATTATTTGAAATTGTTTACATTATAAAATATAAACAATTTCAAATAATTTAAAGAATCAACAACCAAAAAAATAAAGGCTAAAAATTATCCGTACTAAAAATCATGGGTAGAACATATAAAATCATAATTGAAGGCCCGACGACTGCCGACGTCTAGGCTTCTCATCTTCGTCTCACACATCTGTTACCTGTGATCTGGTAAATAATAATATACATACAAATCATCACTGTATCTATACATGTTTTTCCTCAATATCATTCTCATAATTTCCCCCCAATTTTTTGTACGATCAGAGGAAGAAGATTCCAAGAATTTGCCATTTTTCTAGGGTTTTGCTCAATCTGTTTAATCTAAATCAACCAAAATGGCGGCTCCACCAGCCAGAGCACGAGCGGATTACGATTACCTCATAAAGCTTCTCCTAATCGGCGACAGTGGTATGCATTATTATGTCCTTTTCCTTTTCCCCCTTTTGTTTTTTGATCCCCTTTATCGAAATTTCTCTCTCCGTGTGTGTGACTTTTTGACCAATTACCTCGATTTATTGGAGAATTGTGTGTAGTGAGTGTGTGATTTCCTACTTTGCCTTTTTTCCAATTGCGATTGCATGAGAAAGACAGAAGATGCACATTTTTTATGTTTGAGGTTTCTTATTAGGGCTCTATTTCGAAACATTTATCTCTAGAAAATCGTGCGTAATTGTATTATCAGCCATTCATATGATCATCTTTCAATAAATTGTTGCAGGTGTTGGTAAGAGTTGTCTCCTTTTACGATTTTCAGATGGTTCCTTCACCACTAGTTTCATAACAACTATAGGGTTCGTACATTCAAATCCTCAATTCCTTGTTACTAGTATTTCTTCATACTACAAACTTCATAAGTCATAACATAATCTTTTTATTCTTTAGTATTGATTTTAAGATAAGAACCATTGAACTTGATGGAAAACGAATCAAACTTCAAATCTGGGACACCGCTGGTCAAGAACGATTCAGAACAATCACAACCGGTTTGTAATTGAATTTATGTTCCATTGATCTTCTGTTAGATCTTTTAACATGGTGTAATCCTTGATTAATCTTGGTATTTTGCAGCTTATTATCGTGGAGCCATGGGTATTCTGTTGGTGTATGATGTAACTGATGAATCATCATTTAACAGTAATTGCTTATGCCTCTCATCTCATCTTCATATTTAGATTGTTTTAAAGAAATGAAATCATAAAACTTTTTTATTGTTTAGACATCAGGAATTGGATCCGTAACATAGAACAACATGCATCTGATAATGTAAACAAGATACTGGTTGGAAACAAGGCTGACATGGATGAAAGCAAAAGGGTCTCTCTCTCTCTCTCTCTCTCTCTCTCTCTCTCTCTCTCTCTCTCTCTCTCTCTCTGCTAAATTAAAAAAATAGCAACTTTTTTTTCATTTATTTGTTTATTACAAAATTGTAATTTCAAATTTTAGGCTGTTCCTACCTCAAAGGGTCAGGCACTTGCAGACGAGTATGGCATTAAGTTCTTTGAGACTGTAAGTAAAACACATGCTTTTTTGGGTTCCTTTTACATATATATTGAGATTTTTTTTATTATTTATGTGAAATTAAAATTTAAACAGAGTGCAAAAACGAATATGAATGTGGAGGAAGTGTTTTTCTCTATAGCTAGGGATATAAAGCAAAGACTTGCTGAAACTGATACAAAGGCTGAGGTATGTTGTTATTTGTTAATTTGACTTTTCATATATATTTTTTTATATGAAATTTGAGTTTATAATTTTATAATTGCAGCCACAGACAATTAAGATTAATCAACAAGGGCAAGGTGCAGGGTCTTCTGAAAGTGCTAAAAAATCAGGGTGTTGTGGATCCTAATAATTGAAAAAAGGTTAGCCACATTGACAAAAGAAGAATGTGGATAGGGGGATTCTATACTAATCTTGCTATGACAACATTAAGGTTGATTGTATTTTTGTCAGCATTCTAAAATTTTATTTACTAAGTTGTGTTTCAAAAGCTGGTTCCTATTGTGAGAAATCAATCAAATCATGTTATGTCATTTTTTTAATGTTCATGTATTGTTTCTTACGTGGTAGGTCCTTGTGGTTTCATTTTGTTACAAAAGTGATTTATTATCATTTTTTTTATTTCTCTTTTATTTAACTTCATTTAAAAAAAATAGAAATTTAAATTAAAACCCATTACATCTACCCACCAACCCCACCTGTTTTTCTCTCCCTTCTTCCATTGTCCATCACCAATTCACCACCACGAGCCACTGTCCACCACCATGATCACTAACTACTGGTTGTTGTCGAATGTGATTTTGAAGCTTCATGACCACCATGTTCAATGTAGAGGCCCACAAAGGTAGATGAAGGCGAACATATTTGGTCTTTAAGGTTAGATGGTAGGGATGAAGAGGAGGGAGCGGTTATGGTACATGGTATCATAGTTGTTCTTACATTACCTATTTTTGGCAAACCACATGGACCAACAATGTAATTTTGTCAATTACCTATAATGTTAGATTATGATATGAACTGATTTTAGTTAAACAACTACGTAACATGAAAATCCACAAAGTACATATTCAAATATGGACTAATATTCAAAATTATCGATAACAATATTACAAGACCAAAAACCTTAGCTTTTCAAGAGGCTAATTTCTCCTAAGGTATAAGATACCATATATCACATAAATATAATGATACCTACATTTCCCACTACATCTTATAAGTACTATGTTGTAATAAATTATATAAATCAACTACTTGAAATACCCCCTAGTTACTTACTAGTTTGCTAAGTATCTCATATCCCTTTTTTTAAAATGTAAAATACGTCGTTGAATGAGATATGTAGCAATACCCCACCCCTGAAGATTCACCTTGTCCCCAAGGCGAAAATAAAGAAAACAGTACTTTATTATATCCAAATTCTTCCATATGGTCTCGGTAGCTAGTAGTCTCCTCTTTTTGTTTTCATTTATCATGTCGATACAATTACCATGATCTACAATCATTTTAAATATTCCATTCACTTTAAATATTCCAATCACTTGTTCCACCACATCTGAAGTTAGGGAATGTCAGTGCATTTAATGATGCATTCACCACCTTCATGGGATAATACTACCAATCGCCATCAATTCCTCATTTTCCCGGTCACATCCTTATAAAAAAACTTAGGATTATTTATATAAAACCTTTTCAATCATCACTCTATTAGTCCTCAGATTCTTCAAGTTCTTTGGAACCCATTGACAATGCCGACCTCGACACCCTTAATGAACACTTGAACGATATCATAAAGCTTAATGAGTTCCCCAATATACCACATATTCCACCATACAAACACTGCATCCACATAAAATCCTCGACTCTACGCCGAGCAACCCAATATCCTATCCACATTCATACAACATGATGTAACACCTCAATCCGATCTCAATGACATTCCAAACCCTTGGAATGAAACTTCATCGCGTAGTTTCTGCAAGCGTTGCACTGGATCCGACCCTGCTGGCCTCTCAAGAGCTGATCCAAACTCTTGGGTCTTCACTCGAGACCCTCCAATAAATTCGCCTGACCTGAACCTCTCTGATGAGGTACTCCTAATCAATCTTCCTTCCTCGATTATAAGATCCATATCATTCAGGGTCTTGCACCCTGATGCACTTACTAGCTCAATCGTCACGACTATACTGCAATAACTGGAGCAATCTCTACTCTAAACCGGGCTACCAACTATCCTTGTGACTTGGTCTCCAAACCGAAATGTGAAATAGATCGCATAATTAACCCTTGCCGCCTGATACAAGAGATCCAAGGCGTACCCAAAATCCTGGCAGTCCTTCCACTAACTGGCTCACCACCGGAGCTGGTACCAAACCATGTCCCATCCCTCATGCTCATCCTCATTCTGCAAAGCAGCTATTCCCATGATCAAGACATAACCAAGAATTCTCCTTCCCATAAGCTTTTAAGATTCTCCAAGACTCTCACCGATTCGAGTATGGATCCTGTGCTTTTAGTAGTACGGGCCCAATACTACCTTCCACACCTATCCATACTTTCTTCAGCAATCCTCATGAATCCTCTGAGTCACTTACTCCACCCATATACTAAATGCTTGCTAAACAGCAAGACGATCTCTAATGTAGCACCTCCTAGGCTCCCCCTAGGTTCCCAACTTCACCGAACCGCCCCACTAAGCTCACTGGAGCATATCCTAGGCTTTCCTAGGTTCCCAACCTCTCCCTGCCATCAACTGTTGAGGACTCCCCATGATGCCAACCATCCACCTCCTGGATATCGTCATATCCACTTAGTAGCTGACTCCCATCACTCAAGAGTTCCACAAAGCACAAAGCAAGCAACATTCGTGCGATATCACTCCGATCTAAAGAACTATCATAGAACATTCCGCTCACATACCACAACCCCTGCTGACCACATCCACCCTCGCTGCTGGCTGTTTTATGCATGCAAATTATACACAGAACAAGATCTAATAGATTGTCGAATAATAGACTCTACCTTAAGACCATATGAAATAAGGTTAAATCATCTATTCTAAGGCTATAAGATCGTAACCGTATACAATTTTCAAAACATACACATTGCAATTACAATTACCAATTATCATTCTTATTCCAGCATGACATCCAATATCCTCATGGCTACAAGCACCACATATCAAGCCAACCTATTGTTGACTGCTCAACACTAACATGCAAATCTATCAGCTCATACAACATATACATGCATCTCCCCTAGCCCTAACTAGCATGCGATTCACAAGTACATAATTAAATCATAACAGGTAACAAATATGGGTGTTCTGGGGAAACTTATTCGAGCTCGGCTGATTGCATGCACCACACCCTTTATTGTCTTAGAAATTCTTTCCTTAAAACGTTTTTCTTTTTAAAATCTTTACAGTTCCTCAGTTTGAGTTCAGACACACCCGAAAGTATATCTGAATCCCTCAAACCAAGGCTCTGATACCAACTTGTAACGACCCAAAAATCAAAGGTAAAATGTCATTTTTTAATATAGCTAAAACATTGATACCATTTACTCTAACAATTCAAATCATCACAAATTCATTCATTGCGGAAATCATTGATATCATTTACCCAAAAATATAAGGTAAAAACATTTATCATAGTTCATCCCAAATTCATTCATTGCGGAAATCATAGGTGTGTGCACTGCGACCAATCCGAGCCCTTCCTTTCCAAAACGATGATACCTGAAACCATAAACAAAACCTGTAAGCACGAAGCTTAGTGAGTCCCCCCAGAGCATATCCCTCACACAATCCACACAACACATATCATATCAGCTATAAAAGCCATCTTTACTGCATACCACATATCAATTAGCTATAAAAGCTACCTCTACCACATAATACATAACAATTAGCTACAAAGGCTACCTCTACCACATATCACCATTGTTTTGAAAACCGGACCGGACCAGCCAGTTGAACCGGTTTAACCAAGAACCGGTCAGGTTACCGGTCTTATGTAGCCCAAAAACCGGCTGTTATTGAACCAGTAAAAAACCGGCCGGTTCACAAAAAACCGGTTTAAACCGGACTGGTTCGACCAAAAAACCGGCTTGAATAATATATAACTATACCGGGGACTTTTAAAAAACAAAACCCGACCTAAAAAACCCAACACGCGTTTTCTTTTGTTTAAGCTGAATCAATTTGCGTCTCCTATATATAAAACAATATAAACCTATTTTTTATTACACCCACCGATGTGGGATAAAACACAACGCAAACTTGGATATCTTCTTTACTTTTTCTACTTTTCTTCTTGACTCCAAAAACAAACATATATACTCTTTGCTTCTCGTTCAATAATCAATACTTTCAATCCATTTTTAATTTTCAAAGAAATTAATTAAATAACTTTTATGCTTTTATACATGCATATAGTTATAATTCTGTTCATTGTTAAAGAAAAGCAAATTTATTAATACTTTATTGTGCAATGTACTCTTCATGTTCCTCTTTATATATATATATATATATATATATATATATATATATATATATATATATATATATATATATATATATATATATATATATATACGGTTTTTACGGTTTTTAGGACCGGTCCGACCGGTTTGACCAATTGAACCATCGAACCGCTAAGCCGGCCGGTTCGATGTCCGGTCCGGATTTTAAAACCTTGCATATCACATATTCATTAGCTATAAAAGCTACTTCTACCACATATCATATATCAATTAGCTATCGAGCTAGACCCTTAGCCACATAGGCTATCTCTACCGTTAGCCCAAAGGCTATCTCTACCGTTAGCCTAAAGGCTATCTTTACCATTAGCTGTAAAAACTATCTCTAGCACGTATCACTGCATAAATATGCCACACAAGTCTACACAACAAGTATACCAACTACCATAAAATGGGCCGGCCTTGGTGCCTTAGACCCCTTGGTATGGTGAGAAAACCCACCTCGCACTGTCGAAGCTTCCTGCACGAATTCCTTTGCTGCTACCTCGCCAACTTCCCGAGCTGCCTCTACCAAACAATATACCCATGCATGGGGGTAAAATGACCATTCTACCCCTGGTTTAGTATGATCCAAACTTAGGTCCAATTCCAAAACAAAAGCCCAACACTAGGTAGGCTTTCCAAGCCCACTAGTGGCATATTAATGGCCCAATTTGCCAAATTGGGCCCAAATCTTCTAATGGGCTTTACCCTAAGCCTGAACATCTCCTTGGCACATATTATCTGACTTCTGATGGCCCACTAAGACCCAAAACCAAAATCCCTTGCATGGCTCAAACCAAGGCCCAAAACAGTCCAAACCCATATTTGATGAGTATGCTGGCGTACTCCTATGTACGCTAAGCGTACAAGCCAAATGGTCTTTTCTTGTGTGATTGGTCAGCTTTATTTATTTATTTATTTTTATTTTTTTAATATTTATTAAATTATATACATACTAAAAATTTATTAAAAGTATATAAAAAATCATGATTTTTAATTCCCTACTAAATGAATATCATAATTGTATAAAATATTTTAAAATAAAAAAATAAAAATTAAAAGGTAATGCAAGGTAACCATTTTTTGTTTTGAATGAATGAAAAACTATAGTCACACTTAAAAAGTGAAAAGTAAAAGATGGATATACTCTATGCCCTAATCAGCTAAACAAAGCTTAATTATGAAGGTGGTGGTATATATTCCGTAACTCATGATTCAATAGACAGATTATTATTCATTTTTTTCAAACAAGTACAAAAACTCTCTTAATTTTCCAA